CTGATTTTCCTGAGCTCTATATAGATATCATGACTTTTAATGAATTTATTGAATGGCCTTTAAAATATGGACAATGAAGGCTGACAGGGAACAGGTAGAATCTTTGGGGTTTTACACTCCTGTGACCTCTACCACTATGGTAGTGGTATCTTATCTAGCTCTATGTTTGTAGCATCAATTTGCCAAATTTTCTACTTACAGCTTTCCTTTCTGATAATTTGAAACGTTTCTTTTTAAGGATTCTTACTGTTTTCAACTGCATAAAGATGGAAAAAGTGTAAACATTTTCAGGCAATGATGTGACCAATTACCTTTCTGAAATGTAATTTTTGGAGGGGAAGATGTTCTCCAGGCTGAGTGACTAATGGAGATGGACTACCAGTGGTCCAAAATAAGCCACTGGCCCCTGCTCCCTGCGTATGCCACAGCTTCCTGAGTTTTCTTTCCTTCCTTTGCAAAACTCTGCAGCTCCTTGACTAGCACATGAGGCAACCTCTTGGGGCTGTCCAAACTGTTCTTGCTGACAGGGGAAGGCATTTCTGCAGCCCTGTCTCAGGGCTTCCTCTTAATCTTCAGGGGACCTCTCACACTGTTGCACATGGATTTCTCCTTTCAACAGGTAATTACAAGAAAATGTCGATGTATGATCTTGTAAGTTATTTGCTATGAATAAGTGGGTCAAAAGCAGAGGTGAAAGACACAGTCCTTGAATGCTAAATCTTGTTGAGGTTTAAGAATATCTTCTTGCATGGATTTCTGTTCAGCAGAAATGGCCTCATAGCAAGAGATTAATGTTGCATACATAGAGGTTACTGAACCCAAACGATCTTAGGAAGAAGTCGTTCCTCACATGCAGCTGTCCAAGTTGCCACTTTAGAATGCATTTTCATCTAAGCAGAGGCTGTGTTACAGGACATGTTTCCTGCAACTTCTGCAACCAGAGACATAAATATTTTCTTATTAATATTTTTGTGGCAAATTTAGTTTTTCTGACCCCACAGTCAATGAACAAGGTTTATCACTCAGTCTGTGACCTACATTCTTGCCAGGACTATGGGCTCAATCCCACACTCAACCAGCAGGAAACACGATGTTAGGCTAAAAGCCAGGGATCATAGGCCAGTTCACCAGTATTCCTGTTTATTGTTCTATAATAATTCTTAAACAGTGTCCATAGGTCTGTGTGAGCAGGCAGAGAGAGAAGAGTAGACCTGAAAAGGCAGCTGTGACAGGCAAGTTCACCCCGGCAATCACTGCTGAGCAGGATGGCCCATGTACCTGATTTGAGCCATATTTGATTTGGCAAACTTCTAAACGAAATGATTACAAACACTTTCCCCTGTCATAATCAAAATATAATCCGAGTAAAGCGGAGGCAGCGGGGGAAGATGGCGGCAGCCATTCCGCAGCGGGCGTGGACGGTGGAGCAGCTGCGAAGCGAGCAGCTGCCCAAGAAGGACATTATCAAGTTTCTGCAGGACCATGGTTCAGATTCGTTTCTTGCAGAACATAAATTATTAGGAAACATTAAAAATGTGGCCAAGACAGCTAACAAGGACCATTTGGTTACAGCCTATAACCATCTTTTTGAAACTAAGCGTTTCAAGGGTACTGAAAGTATAAGTAAAGTGTCTGAGCAAGTGAAAAATGTGAAGCTTAATGAAGATAAACCGAAAGAAACCAAGTCTGAAGAGGCTCTGGATGAGGGTCCACCAAAATAT